AACAAATCAACGAACACCTAGAGGCAAACAAAGTCATTACTAAAAGCCAACATGGGTTTGTCAAAAATAGATCATGCCAGACAAATCTTATTGCATTCTTTGACCAAATGATAAAATTAGTGGATCAGAAAAATGCTGTGGACATAATTTACTTGGACTTCAGTAAGGCATTTGATAAAGTAGATCACAACCTACTACTTGACAAGCACCACCACCAGATGGATCCGTAGCTGGCTGACCGGCCGTACCCAGCGTGTGGTCCTCAATGGAACCGCATCTATATGGAGGGAAGTGTGTAGTGGGGTGCCCCAGGGCTCTGTTCTGGGCCCAGTGCTCTTCAATATCTATATCAACGATTTGGATGAGGGGATAGATGGGGAACTCATCAAATTTGCAGACGATACCAAGCTGGCAGGAATAGCCAACACTCCATAAGACAGGCTTAAGATACAGAAGGATCTGGACAGACTTGAACACTGGGCACTATCTAACAAAATGAAATTCAATGGTGAAAAAAGCAAGGTTCTACATTTAGCCAAAAAAACCCAAATGTACAGGTATAGTATAGGGGTACCTTGCTCAATAGTAATAACTGTGAGAGAGACCTTGGAGTCCTAGTGGACAATCACCTAAATATGAGCCAGCAGTGTGCTGCAGCTGCCAAAAAGCCCAACACAGTGCTAGGCTGCATTAACAGAGAGATAGAATCAAGATCATGTGAACTATTAATGCCATTTTACAATGCCTTGGTAAGGCCACACTTGGAATACTGCATCCAATTTTGGTCACCACAATGTAAAAAAGATGTTGAGTGCAGAGAAAGAAAAGAAAAGAGTGCAGAGAAGAGCAACAAAGATGATTAGGGGACTGGAGGCTAAAACATATAAGGAACGGTTGCTGGAATTGGGTATGTCTAGTTTAATGAAGAGAAGGACGAGGGGGGGACATGATAGCAGTGTTCCAATATCTCAGGGGCTGCCACAAAGAAGAGGGTGTCAAGCTATTTTCCAAGGCGCCTGAAGGCAGGACAAGAAGCAACGGGTGGAAACTAAGCAAGGAGAGAAGCAACCTAGAACTAAGGAGAAACTTCCTGACAGTTAGAACAATTAACCAGTGGAACAATCTGCCTCCAGAAGCGGTGAATGCTCCAACGCTGGAGGTTTTTAAGAAGAGACTGGACAGCCATTTGTCCGAAATGGTATAGGGTTTCCTGCCTGAGCAGGGGGTTGGACTAGATGACCTCCAAGGTCCCTTCCAACGTTATTATTATTATTATTATTATTATTATTATTATTATTATTATTATTATTATTATTATTATTATTATTATTATTATTATTATTATTATTATTATTATTATTATCTAAACCAGATATTACTCTTCATAACTCAGATCCAAAAAGTTTTTGAAATCAATATAGAATTGCAGAATTAGAGGGAACCACTTTGGCTACCAGGTTCCACCTATTGTCCATTGCAGGAATGCAGCATAAAGCATCTTCAACAGAGGAATGTCTCATTTGAGCAGAGTGAAGGGGAAACCACCCCTCTCTCTGGTGAATTCATTGTATTATTAAAGGTTTTGTTTTGGTAAGATTGAACTAGAATTTGCCTACTAAAAATTCAACCCCATTATTTCACATCCTGTTCAGTGAAATGTTGGAGAAAAGGTCTTGGTTTGAAAATTCTGCTGTGATGAGGAATGTGATTGATTAAAATCCTTATCATGCAGGAATATTTTACTAGGTTAATACATTTGTTTATAGTTATGGTACAAAGAAAACCATTGAGAATTAGTTTGCATATTTAGAATGAAATACCTTAAGGAAATAATCTTCATGAAGCCAAAACCCATAAGCCCACAAGGTCCCAATGAGAGGTAGAGATAAAGGACCGGGAGGCAAATGTCTTCGGGACCAGAGTTGTTTGAAGAAGAACACAATCAGCAAAACAAACAAAAATATCCCTATCGGCATCATTCTCCTGCTGGATCTTGATCTTTGAGACTTTCTAGTTGATCTGGAGGTGGTTGTCTCCTTTTATTTGATGGCTCTTTGCTGTCCTTCCTCTTTTATATATATATGTTTGGGAAGAGACTAGAAAAATGTTTTTGAATGCGCCATCTAATTGGTTCCCGTATTTTGTTAATGAGATATTATCACACTAATTTGGATAATGAGATTACTTCATGTGTATAGGCTATGCAAATAACAGAGGAAGATAATCTTTTTTTAAAAAAAATCAAAGGCTGTGTAATCCATTTTCCCCCAACATGTTATTACACTGGAATTATTTTAAAATGATACTGCCCCATAGGTCCATGAAATCTATTTGAATAAAAAGGCGAATCTTGTGTGTCATGGAGATATTATCTAGTACAGTATTATGTCTCATGTCTTGCAAGCCTACCATCAGGACATTATCACTCACTCATCTTCCCCTGCAGATAAGGGAACATCTTCATGAGAGTATCGTAATGTTGGAGAACCATCTTTAGATCTATGCAATTGATCACTGTTTTGGAACTAAGCCAAGTGAAACCTTAATCCTAATAATTTGGAGCTGTTGCAAAAATATCTTGTAGCAACTGTCATTGATTGACAGCTGTCCTTAATCCAAGCATCAAATTATAAATAGTGAGCTATAGATGGTTAACTATGCGTACCTAAAAATGGTATTGCCACCCCTGCTGCCTAACCCATGACCACATCTAGAAAGGATCCATGCTAGAGCTGTAACAGGAACAATTGCCGAACTCTGAAGCATCATAAACCCAGTGGAGGTCAGGCAGCTTAAATACCAACTAGCCATCCTTTGTAATATTGTGTTTTGTGTATGCATACAATTAAAAATAAGCATTTAAATATTTTGCTTTATGCCGACAGAGTAATAGTAACATCACGGACACAAGTAGGGATGAAAAGATAGCTGCACAGGTTTCGTTTGTGTAGGAGGGCAGCCAGTGCTGCAGTGCTCACTTTCAAGTGCTGGAGCCCCAGCCAGCCAGTGGATCCACACTCAGTGCTGGTCAGCTGGGTAGAGGCTGCCTGTGGGCGGCATGGGGCCCAATCAGGGGCTTGGCCAACAGTGCTCAGCACCAATTGCCTGGGTGGGCCGGCCAGCTGGCCATTGCTCAGCACTAGAGAGCTGGGTAGCAGCCAGATGGGGGTGCCACAGGGGCCTTGGGATCAGCAAAAGCTAGCTGTGGACATCCTGGGACCATGATGCTCAGCACAAAATTGCTTGGGACAGTCATAAAATGCGATGCTTCACCGGTGTGTGGATGCAGGCACCTGGGGAGCAGCACTCAGCCAGCAGCCAGATAGTAGTGGCCCCTGCAGGAGAAAAGCCTGGAAATTAGGAGGAAAGGGGTGGGATGAGGGAAAGAGAAGATAAAAAGGGGAAGATAAGTGATGTCATAGCCCTACCCCTCTGTTGAGAGAGGACTGTTCAGGTTTAATTAGGTGGCCTCCTGTTTACAACACAGTTCTTTCAGCAGTTCCAAGAAGGTTCCACGTCCACATACACTGTTCAGGTGACCCCAAGGACATACTGTAGATAAATCTCCAAGTGGCCTCGATGAGTCTCAGAGAGAGTGCTAACAACCAGATGACAGCAAGGAATATAAATCCTTCATTCTCCACCATTCAGTCAGAACTGAAGAAGCTTCTTGGATGAAAAGTGAAACATAATAATAATAATAATAATAATAATAATAATAATAATAATAATAGTAGTAGTAGTAGTAGTAGTAGTAGTAGTAGTAGTAGTAGTAGTAGTAGTAATAGTTGGAAGGGACCTTGGAGGTCATCTATTCCAACCCTGTACTCAGGCAGAAAACCTTATACCATTTTGGACAAATGGCTGTCCAGTCTCTTCTTAAAAACTTCCTGTACTGGAGCATTTCTCCCTATTGCTTGTCACTTTCTTGCCATGTTCTGGTCCAAACAAGAGATCTGCTTTAATCCTGTTTTTCTCAGACAGATAAACTCCAAAGACTAACTAATATTCAGATTATTTATTCTTCAGGAATCTCTAAACAATAACTTACAGTCAAGAAGAGTTCTTCTGATGAACGTGTCATAATCTCTCCGTCTTGTGGTGTAAAATATTAACGGTAGATTTCACCCCATATTTCTTATGGAACACAGAAACCATGTATCTTTCTTACACAATGGCTTTGACATACACTGGCAAGTAGCATGGACATCCTGTGATAAACTTTGGTGCTCCTCCTACTGACTAGATAAGATATAGGACTACCTAATAGCTGAACTACATTACCCAGAGGCCATCTGTTAAGGAGACAGTGTTAACCCTTTAAATGCTAAATGCTCTAACACAGTTGTTAAGCTAAATATGCTCCGGCCAGAGTTACATTGGTCCAGCAACTCCCCGCTTGGAAATATAAATTTCCATTATTAACTAACTAGAATAAGCAAAAACATAGCATCAAAGCATGCAATTTTCATTACTAACTAACTATTAACTAAAATAGGCATAACATAGCATCAAAACATGCATAACTGTAAGATAAATACAAACATGCATAACTATAACAGAGGTAAACAAAGGCATTACATCAAACAATGCAATTATGAGGTAAACATAATATACATAGTTCGAGGATCAATCTTCAAGTTCATTCTTCTTTAGCAATAGTACCAGGTTGGTGATTGGTCTGGTGTAAAGCCTCTTCACGAGAGTCTTTGAGTCACAATCTGACTCATGTGGCTTCACGATCTGGACCTCAACTTGGTGAACTAGTCCATCAGAACTGGGTAGGAACTGGTGCACAAGTCCCATGGGCCAAGAGTTCCGATGTGCATCCTTGTCTCTCAGCAAGACAAGGTCTCCTTCTTCTAAGTTCGGCTCTTTGGTCTTCCATTTGCAATGATCTTGAAGGGTAGACAAGTATTCTTGCTTCCAACACTTCCAGAAGGTGTTGGCCAGCAGTTCTGGAACCAAAGGATTTTCATGAACAGAAGAAACTGGAACCAAAGGATTCTCAGGATCAGAAGAAACTGGAACCAAAGGATGAGCGTTGATGACGGCTGCTACTTCTGCCATGAGGGTAGTGAGGACCTCATGTGTCAGTGTGGGTGTCTTTGTCAACATAGAGGCCATGATTTTGCAGGATACGCCAATCATGCGCTCCCAAGTTCCTCCAATGTGGGATGCATGGGGAGGATTGAATGTCCATACACAGTTCTGGGCCTTTAGGTATTTGTCAATTACTGGGTCATGACTATAGTCTGTAAGTTCTTGCAGGCTCCTACAAAGTTAATTCATTTGATGCTAAGACAAGTGAACAGGATGATTACTGCTACGCCCAGTATGTGGGGTCTCTGTTTGGAGGAGCGTTTGAAGTGGGCTGGTTCTAGGAAATGGTTAGAAGGTGGTTTCTCTGTCTCTTTGCCCATTGTGGACAAGCAGATGTTCTGGATGGTCATTTTCTCGTCCTGTCTGAGAAATTTGTTGGGTGCCTGAGGTTGAATGTTGTCATCTTGATCTGGGGCTAGAAGCTCATAGTGTTTTGGTCCCTGTGGCATCAGGCTGTCTGGACAAGCCAAGAACTCAGGACCTTTTAGCCAGATCAATTCTGCCAACTGTGATGCAAGAATGGACTGCTTAGCTTGGTCCGCAGGGTTCTGATCTGTTGGCACATGTTGCCATTGCTCAGGGCTTGAAGAACTTTTAATCTTTTCTACTCTGTTGCTTACATAGACATAGAAGTGTCTGCTTTGGTTGAAGATGTAGCTTAACACCACCTTGCTATCTGTTAGAAGGTGGTGGATTGTAACTCAAGGCTTCTCATTCTTGTTGTCAGGTTGGTAAGTTTTACAGCCAATATGGCACCGCAGAGTTCCAACCTTGGTATGGTATGGCCTTGTTGTGTTGCTAGTTTCATCTTTCCTGTGACGAAACTGACGTAAATGTGGCTCTCCCCGCCGTAGATGCTGATATATCCTACAGCTGCTATCACCTTTGTTGACGCATCTGAGAAGGCATACAATTCTTTCTTTTGTATGGCGGCGGGTGAGATGGAGACATACGTGCGTTGCACACAGATACTTTGGAGACAACTTAGGAATGTACGCCACATCTCCCAGTTTTGCTTCTGTTCTGGCGAATGTGGCTCGTCCCAGTCTGTGGTGCTCTGGGAGAACATGCGTAGCTGCAGAAATTTTTTGTCCTCTATCAACAAGGCTAAGACATTGCTATTTTTGCTGGTCTGGGACACTGTCGCTTCCAAATGGGTTTGGTTGTCACAAGTGTGAAGTGTTCTTGGCATGGTTTCAGGTGAGGTGCGCTCCCATTACTGAAAATGGAGGTCGTTGAGATATTCACCTGGGTTGGAGTTTGCAGCTGGTCAACACAGACCGTTCCTGAGATGACTCATTCAGGTTCCATTTTTAGAGGCAATTGGAGGAGCTGGTCAACACAGACCGTTCCTGGGATGACCCATCCAGGTTCCATCTTAAAGGCAGTTGGTGGGCTTGTTGGGCCTCTGACCATTCCGTGGTAGGCAAAGGTGTCAGGGGCATCTACTCCCAATGGAGCCAAAATTTCGGCTTCAGGATTTAGGAACTGTGAACTCCCATCTAATGGCTGGATACGGATCCCAGTGACTTTCCTCCCCACTGGGCACAGAGCACATTGTGAAAGGTGTTTCTTCACTTGGGAGTTCACTGGGTTTGGAGCCATGCTGGGGCTCCTTGGTTGAAGGAGGAGTAGAAACTGCTTGTTGTAGCTGTTCAGAGTCTGGATACAGGGTTCCCAGGTGCTTGTCACTCTTGCTTGGGTGACACTTCCCCTTAGCTGTGCAAGATTTGGCCGCGTGTTCTGGAGCCTCACAGCATTTGAAGCATACCTCGTACTCTCCCAAGTCCAACCTTCTTCCCCAGGGTGTTGGAGGATCCAATGGTGCTGTGCAGGGGTTGCCATCAGTCTGGATTGGTACGGTGTTGAGATCATCAGGAGCACGATCAGTGGCTTTTTGTTGAACCTCATAAGCATTGCTCCCAAGAGCAGGGGAATGTGGCACA